AAGACCAAATTAGGAACATTTAGGGAACTCCAACCATACCTTTTAGACACAGGTTCTGAAAATCCTTCTTAGAGCTAACGAACAGGAGGATTCGAGGACATGTTAATCACATGTCACTGTAGAGTGTTTCTGTGGAACCAATCTTAATTAAGATGTGATTTCAGCAACAGTCATAGCCTATTAACTGTGACATCCTTACCACTTGCACTGGGTTGTCTCGAAGTAACAAATCCAGGGTGGTGGTGGTAAGGGGATTTTCCTAGTGGTGCTTGCTCACAGAGGAGAGCTTTTGGAGGTCGTGGCACATGTAATTTGACAGTAGTCACTAAAAGTGCTTCTAAGGAACCTGCTTAAACTATGGAGATAGATTACAATTTTTCAATTGTTCACCTGGAATATACAAAACCTAAATTACATTGTCCCTAATACTATTCTGTGGCTAAATTGGCTTTTGAATGCTCGATTAAGAGTGATTGGCTGTAAGTACTCCCTAATTTTAGTCAGACTGAAGTCCTGTGTCCATTTCTTTTTCCAGCTGGATTTCTGTAAAAAAACTTACACAGACACTTATACAAAATCTTTCCTAGTTTTTACTTGTGTTTTTAAAACAAAACCCTCATATGTTGCAGAATTGTGGAGGTTTTCTCATAAATATATCACTGTAATTTCCTAGCAATCAAGCCTGACATTTTATATAGAATTCCATAAACATTTATAACTTCACATGTATGTATATGTATAATTACTTATGCTTGTATGTGTGTGAGAAGAAGAATGGGGTGACAGCCAGATGACACACTACATGGCCATGAGGAGAGTTTGTGCATGGACCCTGGCTGCAGACGAGGGAGCAGCCTGGCATGTGCAAAGGATGGAGAAGACCTGAGGCCCTCAGTGAGCTGATGAGGCAGTGGTCACAACCTTCTCTTTTATCTTTCTCTCATCTATTTTGAAATGGGTGAGAGAAGGAAGGTTTGATCTTCTAAACTGGAAAAAACAAACAAACAAACAAAAACAGATACACCTAGAGGTTTTACTAGGGATAATTCATCTGCTTTCTTACCTGAGAAAGTTGACAAAGTATATAAATGTTGAAGAGGGTTTTTCTTCCTGTTTTAGGTCAGCATTTGACGAAACTCACACCTTCCCCCTTCTTTTGGATATATGCATATGTGTGTATATATGTTTACATATATATGTATGTGTGTGTGTATATATGCACATATATGTATACCCACATACACATATGGTAGAGATTGGGAAATAGGCAATGATCTGAACAATTCCAGCAGTTTAAGACCTTGTGTCAGAGATGAGTCAAGACTTAACTGATTGGAAGGGGTGGGGCTTCATAGAAACTGCTCTGTCACTATGAGAAGCATTGTTTAGAAATGTTATTCATTTGTCTTTGACCTGCAATATAAATCACACACATATATAGATGTTTGTCTGTGTATAAATTGCATGCATGTGTACCTATGTGTCTGATGTGTGGGTAAATAAATGCACACACAGAAGAGAATATAGAATATGTGCATTTCGTCTCAGTTTTCCTCAGGATACTTCATTCCAAGGCGATTGAACAATCTTAGTAGCACTTGCTCCCCAGGGAAATTTGGTTATAAGGCAGCGCAACTCATATGATCTCACCCTGAACATTGTATAATATCTTCCAGATCCAAATTGTCTCCAGATCAACCCAGACCATGTTTGAAATACCAGATGTTTCTACCCTTCCCCTTCCTCCCCCCAATTCTCTTTCAAGTATCTGACATGCGATCCCTCTGCTCTGGATCAAGATGGTCACCTGAAATGTTGCCAGCATATCTGGTTTCTTGACACTATGATTATGGAGAAATTGATGCCATTTCCATTTCTAACTCTAAAATAAACAGAGGGAAGCAGGGGCTTGGAGACTCAGATCATGGAAATGTATGCTGAGTTTTGGAGCCTACAGTTATAGCTACTGAAAAAGTCTTATTCGTGATGAGTATTTCCGTATAACTACTATAGAGTGACTGTTATTCTTTTAGAGGACCTTGACGGGTATTCTCAAAGCCCAGCTATGATTTTTCCAAATATAGTCAATCCAGAGGACCTGTTTTTTTGGACAATGAAGAAGAAAAATTAACCTGGCATATCCTTCTATTGACAATGGCCAGAATGTGTTGCTAAAATTATATGAAGTAGACAGCTTCAGCACTTGTATACTTATGAAAGACATGTGTTTTGTAGGCACCAGTTGTTGATTCTGTAGGGAATGCCATCACCCATTGCTGGTGAAATAATGATGCAGGACAGAATTACACAGTGTCACTCCCAACTGGTGTTGCTTGTGTCCCATATGTACTTTACAGACTGAAGTCCAGATGACTGTGGCCTGTATGAACTGATCATACGCTGCCATTGTCTATTTACTGATCATTTTCTATTTACCAATTTAGACTTGACAGGTTGATGTGGCTAAGAGAAGATAAAGTTACCCAACATATGATTTGCAATCACAATTTCAGAATTAAAAAAAAAATGTTGAAGCCAATATGATTCAGTTCTTTCCTGATCCAGACAAAACCCAGAGGAGAAAAAATGATTTCAGAAATCCTTGAATATAGCTGGTGACACTGTGGGACCAGGTCACAGTTTTCTTGACTCCTCTTCAACAGTCTTTCTTCTTTTTCACAGTTCTCTGTTTTGTTAGTTCTCTAACATTTACAATAATACGGTTTTCATATTAACTGGTGAAGCTCTTACATCACTGTTAAATATAATCACACAAATCTTAATGTTCCCATGAGTCCAGGGATCTGGCTTTCATTGTCTAAGTGGCCAGTTTGCCTTACCTGACAAGGAGCTAACACTTAGGCCTCCTTTTCCTTGCTTCCATCCCATCCTACATAGCCCTATGCCCTGAGTATCATTAGATAACACCTTCCTAAAAATTCCTTACCGAGAGTTCTCAAGAACAAAGAACTAGGCAGAAACAAGCCTGTAAGACGTGGGTGTTCAAAAATAATGATCATCGCCAGGTGGTGGTGGTGCATACCTTTAATCCCAGGACTCAGGAGGCAGAGTCAGGAGGATCTCTGTGAGTTCAAGGCCAGCCTGGTCTACAAGAGCTCGTTCCAGAACAGCCTCCAAAGCTACACAGAGAAACCCTGCCTTGAAAAACAAAATAACAAAAACAAACAAACAAACAAAAGATCATCTCTTTTGTGAAAAGGACGACTCTGTCCACTTGGGGGTGGTCCCTTCTCTTTGCCCAGCAAAGGAAGGGAAGAAGTGTGGTGAGGATTCTGGGTGTTAGGTTTCAGGGAATCCTGATGATGGAGTAAAGGAGAGAGAGAGAGAGAGAGAGAGAGAGAGAGAGAGAGAGAGGAGGAGAGAGAGAGAAAGGAAGTATGTATGTTAGGAAAAAAGTTAATGTCAGTCTAGTTCATTTCCATCAATAGTATACTGCACGTAGCTCATATATCTCGTGAGTCCAAGTATCTCTTGTTTAACATGTCATTTGGGCAGCCATGTTGTTGAGATTTCATGAATGCAGTTTTTCTTTCATATCCAGATGGTACTGTCCTGCAGCAAGCATCTGGTCCTCTGGCTTTCACAATGCCCCCCTCCCCCATGTTCCCTGATCCATATTGCAGATCTATCATTGGACTTGGGTACCCCATAGTCAGTTGTTCGCTACATTGTGACCAGTTGTGGACTTCCATAACAGTTTCCATCTTGTACAAAAAGACACTTCTTTGATGAGGGGTGAGAGATACCATTGTCTGTGGGCATAAGGTTATCCATGTAGACTACAGTTAGATATTATACTGGGTTAGGAAAGTGGCAGTATAGATAATTGTTTGGTTTACAGTACCAGGCATAAATCTCTAACCCCAGGGCAGGTCTTAAGTCCAAGTAGATAGCTGTTCATTACCCCTCAGATAAATGTACCACTATTGCACCGTCGTGGATATCTCACCAGGCTGGTCATTGCAAAATCTAGATTTATGGTAGGATAAGCCTGTTGATTGCTCCTCTCCCTTGGCAGCCTTCATAACACCTTTGGGTACTATGACAGCTAGTCCTCAGGGACGAGGCCTCCAGGTAAGTTCTAGAATGCATTGACACTTTGATCTGAGCAAATGCTGAAAACTTTTCATCTTCCAATGAAATCATCTTAAAAAAAAAAAAAAGAGTAAACCTGTCAGTGGTGACAACATCTTTCAGGCCAACACTCAGAGGTGGAGGCAGGTGGATCTCTGTGAGGTTGAGGCCAGCCTGGTCTACAGAGCAAGTTCCAGGACAGCCAAGGCTACACAAAGAGACCCTCTCATGAAAAACTAAAAATAGAGAAAAGAAGAAAGAAAGAAAGAAAGAAAGAAAGAAAGAAAGAAAGA